GAGAAGATCTTGTCTCACTTCCTTCGGCGTGAGTCGAGCTGTGAAATCCCGAGAACGTGTGTTACCAAAGGTAAAATCGACTAGATTGATTGGAGTGCGGCAGTGCGGATCCTTGTCCATTCTCTGGCTCAGATTCTGGTGCAGGCAGGCCAGGCGCAGCAAGATCACTGCGCGGAGCTGCAAAATCCCGAGAATGTCGCAAGGGCGTATATCTGATTGGAGTACCTGGAGCAGATCGGCCGAGGGCAGCAAGATCTTTCGGCGGCAGCGCAGCAGATTCCGGCGGGCCGCTCGATTTTCCCCGCTGCGCCCTCTCTCCCCGCCCCACCGAAACTTACGACTATCATTTTAGGGCTTCCTCCAGGGCAATCTTCGCGATCACGCTTTCTAATTAAGAAGGTAGAGAAGTGACGTTGCCTTGCTCGATGAGTCCAACTGTGATTCTTGCATGTGTTTTTAGCTATCTGCGAAGTCTTCAATCGTGAAGGTATCGAGATTTTGGATTCCAGTTCACGTTTCAGTTTTGCGAGAGTAGGCTTTTACATCAACTTTTGCGATTTTCACAGTCGGAGGTAAGCTGAAAACGTTTATCTTAAAACTGGAGCTGCTGAAGTCCGCTATCTCAGCTAGCTTTTAATGAGGAGCGGACGAAGCAACTCTCATTCCAGAGGCTTTGTCCATCGATAGGTTCCTGATTTCTCCCACTTTCTATGAGCATGGGATGGACCTGCATTTTCAGGTGTCAAGTTAATTTTGAAACTTCTTTGGTATGTGAGGTAACAGGTTCCATCCTGCTCGATATCTTTTGAAGTCTAGAAAAACATTATCAGTGCTAGTGTCAAGGATCTGCTGCTTGTTGAGTCTTATGGGAAAGCCCATACTAATATCCATGCTTGGGCAGTGATACTTGCAATGATATCATAGATAAAGATTTCACTATTGTAATGGAGGAAAAACATTTGGTAGAAAACGGTTCACTAACTTCGTTTTGGATTAAGGTAACGTGGTTAGTTAGTAATAGAGACAATTGCTCATAAGTAGTTCACAATTACAGTGCTGCCAAAGAAGATTTATAGAGAACCAATCAAGTAATATATGTACTTTACCATTATAGTTACATTGGAAAACAAATAGTTAAAAAGTTTTTGAGGGACTGTGCTCAAGTGGAGCCATCCAGAAGAGCCTGCACCCATGCAATAGCGTATATATCGATTGAGCATTTTGCCATCCAAAATGTGCTTAAAATCTAGCTTGTGGACTGAAAAATGCACATCCACAAGCTAACATGTCAAAACAAAAAAATGACATAAAGACATAGTGCAAAAAATTGCATATGTGGTGTGGTGTTAATTTGGACTTTGCCATGTATATGTGATGATCACCATTACATTCCCACGCATAAGGAAATTAGTTATAGTTTTATGATTATATAACTTAGCTATGGAAATTATACTTGCTTATAATGGTGAAAATATATAAGCATAGAATAAAGTTGAGGTGTGTATGAAAATAATGAAGTTGAGGTATATTTTATTTTCAGATGTATTATATGAGTTTTATTATATTAGTTCTAGAGTTAATCACAACGGTTTGATTGAAGAATATCCTAAAAATACTTGAATTTTCTAAAAGAGTAAAGGAAAAAAGACAATAATAAAACCATAAATAATAATGTATAATTAGTTAAACATTTTGAAAGGCATAGAAATTTGATTAAAAGAAAATACAAGCTGCTTTTAGCTCCAGTGCATGTGATTTAATGCCCATAATTATATACACTTAATGGTAGTGTTACTTGTAACAAAGTAAAAATAAAATTTCTAAATATTTATCCTTAAGTAGATTAACACTCATAATGTGTTTCTTCATTTAAGAAGAAACCAGTTAAATAGATTGAGACAAATTCCAATAGTCACAGAAATGACTTAGCAATGAATTTATATAGTGATTAGTGCTCAAATATACATCACTAATAACTTAAGTAATAGAAATAGAATACATGAGAATAATATATCAAGAATCAATATACTTTGAAAGAAATTAAATTTGTTATGCTAACAAATATATGCTACCCTCTTATTTGATCAAAGGTGGTTTTGTTTTTCAAAGCTAAATCAAGTTTTTAGTCAAGTTTATTCTAGTTTTGTTTCTCTCTCCCTCTCTATTTCATAAGATATCTGTGTACATACATCAGGTGGCTCGGCATATATAAGCTACATTTTATTATTTTGTTTTCTTATATAATAATTTATTGTTCCTACTTATCACGGCAAAAATATTAGATAAAATATTAAAAATAATTAGTAATATAAATGAGCTAGTAATTACTAAAATTATCTAAACAAGTTCAATTAGATTAAGTGGTAGTATGAGACATTGTTAATTTGTGTTCCTGTCGAAAGACAGCGACACAGAAAAGTCTGCTTGTACGAGTAAGAGCAATGCCTATCTGAGGTTGAAGAGGAGGAAACGCAGAGGGCTACAGAGGTGCACGCAGGAAATGTGACTCACAGAATTTCCTTACTCGAGCTTGCACGTCGCGGCAGGAAAGAGCTCCGGTAGAGCTCACTCGCCCACGGCGGCAGCAGAAATTCAGCCTGAGGATCACCTCTAGATATTAGTACATTCTCTTCAGATCAGTGGTTTAAAGTAGTGTTTAGTATAATGTTTCAATAAATAATGAAGTATTTACACACAATGCCTTCAATCCACATTCTCCCGAGAGCTCTTCCCTCGGCAGGAAATCGCCCACTCAGCGTTCCTTCGGCAGCAGCAGCCTTTCCAGCATCCACAAATCGCGGAAGAAACATGTTTTTCTGCAGTGGAATGTTGTGGACCTTGAGCGTCGGTTGACAGGAGCTCTGTTGCTATGCAAGTCGTAGCTTGGCGTGGTAAGAGCAGATCGGGCGTGATGCGATCTTATGCCTGCATAAGTTTTCCTCTTTAGATTTTGGTGGTTTGTCCTCAAACACACGAGCTTACCTCGGCGCAAGCGCAGGCAGGATCGCAGAGTTTTTCACGTCTTCCTCACGGCAGATCTCCAGTTATGCAAACAGTGAAGAAAGCACAAAGAAAAGTCCCACCTTTGGACCGCCCCTGTGCTGAACCTTTGTCCTCTCTTAAAACAAGTACTCACCTCTCGCAAGATGCTTTTCCTATGGCTCGATGTTGAAGCTGGGTATGAATGCGCAGCCAAGTGCAGTGTCCGTGTCCGCACTCGCAGAGCAAGTTGACGAGTGCCAAGTTGAGTCCTCGAGGTTGTACGCATATGGAGCATACGCATACACAGTCTTGTAGCGATCCGAGAAACTATTGTGCTCCCAACAAGCAGCGCCTGGATATCCGAGTTTTCTCTCGACGGCATCCTGCCATACAGCTCCTTATACCGCCTGCTTGACAAAACCTTCCACTCTCCTGCCACAGTGTCCAGCTCCCAGAGCACCACGCAGCTAAACGAGTGCGTCACCATGAAATTCCTGCCTCTCCACCTCAAGACATCGCATAAGGTGGTGCAGTCAAGCTTATACTCCTTGTAGACAGACTCATTGAGGGGAGTTGGATCACGACCACCAACGAAGTGCTTGTGACAAGACCAGGCCATGGAATCTGGATTGTAGGCCATGAGAAAGTATGGAGGGTAATGGAGCCCCGCGCTTCCAATCACGGAGCCATCAATCTTCGTGTTTGCGCAGTCGTGCTCGCCAATAAAGGGCACTGCCGAGGTCCAAACCCGCGACTCTGAATCATACTGGCGCGCCTGGTAGATCACTTGGTAGTCAACGCCATCTTCACTGTAGGTGATGACCAGCTTGTAGGAACCTTTGGACGGATCAGCCTGGAGATGGATCCTTTCCATGGTGTAGAGCGGACGAGAAGGGATATCGATTGGAGGCAACCGCCTCCATTTGCTTGTCAATGGATTTCCTACCACAAATTTCCATGCTGTGTCAGGCGTGTTCCAGTAGCGGCCCTCTTCTGGTAGCAATCCGCAAACCAGGCCGTGTGAAGAAGAAACCCCAATGGAGAAACACCCACGAGGCCCTGGATTCAATCCGGTAGATCTTCTTGCGCCGCTGCCCGGGAACCACACTTCTCTGTGGATGCTGTCCTTAGTGCGCAAGACACAACAGACCTCGTCCCTTCCCTTCCATTGCTTGGCGAATTCGTGAGAAGTAATGGCGCTGTCCCAGGATCTACAAACGCATCGCAGCCTCCCTAGATCGTCAAGCTCCAGGCTCGCAAACACCCGGAGCAACAAATCCTCCGTTAGGCGCTCCATGCTGCCTGTTGGAAGGAAAACTCAATTTATATGCCCCTTATCGTTAAGGGGAAAAAATCACGTTTTTTTCCAGTAGTGTCGAGCTCGAAAAATCACTTCTTGTTTTCTATGACTTCCACTATAGAACCGTGTCTCTTTGTGCTCGTAGCAGCCAATGTAGCTACCATATCGAAGCTTGAAGAGGCTTAGAAGACTGTCCGCGATGCCCACAAGCATATCACATTAGAACCCGCGCCATCATCCAAGCAAAACACACCCTGGTAGCTCATGCTTTGGTTCAATCTCGTCCCTGCTGAGAACGTCTCTCCTGCAGAAGCTTTCCATTTAGCGGGGTGCTGCTCGAAACACACCTTCAAGTTAACGAACGTACCTTGGATGCTGACAGGAGTTGAGAGCTCTCCTCATTGCATTGCATTCTCTCGTCCATGTAGCTGCATACAAACAAACAGGATTTGAGAGAGAGAGAACAAAAAGATTCGATGAGCGGTTTACCTCACGAAAGGAGCAAGTTTGTCCACCAGTGGTTGACACTAGAGATTCTTTTCTCCCCGAATTTTGTAGACTGCTTGCTCTCTCGAAGCTCCCTCAATATTTTATCTACAGCTGTTGCTTGCCACAATAATCTCCTTAGTTTGTTACTGGACAACACAAACAGTGAAGAGAAAAAAAGGACAAATCCCACCTCCGTCTTCTGGTTTTGCCTCTTCAAATGTTCCTCTCTTTGGAACGTTCGTAAATCCATCGAAAAAGGAAATACAGTACCACATTGTGCGCTCGCCCTGGCTGGAGCTGATAAAATTTTAGCACGCTCGTCAACCCAAGTCCACCGACATGAATGATCTGATTGGTTCCACCGTTATAAGTTACAACAAGAAAACAAAAGTAGAACGCACCTCTACATTAGCCTGGAGGAGAAATAAGTGAGGCGAAATTCTTGATCGAAGGACCTATAAATCAAGTTAAGACGTTCAAGAAAATCATCTACAGTCGGTAACTCATATACAGCGTACGCGCTCTCATTCTTCTCACGAACTGCTCTGTGGAGAAGCTTCGACACCTTCGGGTTATTTCCACAGTGTTAGAACAAATAATTATTTTGTTGATCCTAGTATCCTGCGGAATTGCATACCTTGATACAAGAGAATTCCCATATCGAGACAATTGTCGACCTGCATACTAACATTTTAATTGGCTTGTTAAAGTTTCTGTTGCCGCGCCCCTTCTGTCGTCACCTGAAGACAACACGTTTCTAAGGGCAAGGTTCAAAGGTTAAAATGATAGTACCATAAGCCAAGAAGTCTGTGTACAAAAGCATTGGGCAGTATCAGAGATGCTGACGCGCGAAGTCCGTTCTGAATAAGGTGGTGGTGTACCGCAAGCAGCATCGGTATGGCAGGCTTTACCTACACTTCAAACGAGCGTTTAATACCGAGAACTTCAGCGAGACAAGCATACCAGTTCATTCGCTCTGTTGCCTCGCTCAAAATCAAAAGCTGCGATCCTCCACGTACAGCCTCATCGGCAACTTCAGCTTGTCCAAGAAAGTGATCCCTTCAAGTCCATTACTAATGTCAAAGAACGTTGGAATTGTCGAAGCCTTCAAAACTGGCAAAGTTTCGAGCTCTCCTTCGTTCAATACCGGGCTCAGTAACTTCAGCTGCGCATGCAAGACAACAGCCAGATGATTAAACCGCAATTATGACCCGCACCTGAGCAGCATTCTCAGCTTTTGCTTCCAGAAGGTTTTCTCGCTTTCCAATATTCATGTCAAGAGACACCTCCCGTAAAGGATAACGGGAGGATTTGTTGCCTGCAAAATCTCATTCCCTGAGCGAATCTTTGCTTCAAATAGTCAAACAGCATATGAACAGAACAGCGTCCCCCATACGACTCTTTGCCTTGCAATGTCATGTTTTCAGTAACCATTTGGACACCCTCAGATGAATACCCAAATGCCCTGAAATCTAGAGACATGAGCACACGTAAACCTGCGTAAAACAATAAACGGCTTACTGTTGTCTCTGAAGGAGCTTGTCAGTGTCCATAAACGGTTCAGCTGAAAATTTACAAACAGGAAGGGTTCTCATCCATCCATTGGCGATAAGGATGTGAAAGAGCGACCCTCTTTTTAACCTCCGTATTTTCGGATACCTGTAGCCTCAGCACGTTATCACAAATGCAGAGCATGTTGTTATTCTTGCCTTTCCAGAGTTCAAGTCTATGGGCTATCATCATCCCAGGGCCTAAACGACCTTCCGAGATGATATCAAAACCAACCTTCATAAGGGCATGGTTTTAGTTCTCGTCAAGTATAGCTAAAGGTAACGTGCCATCCTTGGTTTCCCAATATCGAACAGGACGGAGACCGTTTTGATCAAGGCAAGCACTGTCCTCCCATCACTTCAAATAGATACGTTAACGAAAGTCTTCCATTGAGGAAATTAGCTTGTACCTGAAAAGGAGCAATGCAGGTCCGTCCCATGCTTCCATCTGGCCTGTGTAATACTCGTAAAAATCAATAACCTGATACAGACAGGAGAAATAAATCAGGGCATAACAAATCTCCGGATACTTGATGGACAGTGTAGGGTGATTTTTGTAAGCCTCTGGAATCAGAATCATCAGAGTTGCTTCTGGGGTTCGTCCGCTCCTCATTAAAAGCTGAGATAGATTACTTTAGAGGCTGTTCAGTTCGAAATAAATAACGTACTTACTTCCATCCGCAACAATGCAAATCCATCCCATGCTTCCTTTGTAATACTTATAAAAATCAATAACCTGATACATATCGGAGAAATCAGCTGCTGTTAACCTCTGGATACTTGACGGACAGTGATTTTTATAAGCCACTGGAACGAGAATCATCAGAGTTGCTTCCGGGGTTTGTCCACTCCTCATTAAACGCAGAAACGCCTCCTAGTTTTGGAGAAGAGAGACAAAGTACTAGATTGGTTTTTCTCAATTTTTTTCGTTGTGCTTCTCTTCTTAGGACAAGACTGGAATCTAAGTTCTTAACGATTAGCCGACAAGTCCAAGTCCTTTGCATCTTTACAATCTCTTTGTTCACCTGGAAATTTGGAAAAGAAGTTAGAAAGCTCTTCAGTTGTATACTTTGGTCGGCCAACTGGAAGATTAGAGAATATGAAAGAGAGAAGTTTGTCTTACTTTCTGAGAGAGACTACTGGCTGAGCAAAGCATGCAAAAACATTTTAAATCGATTGATCAAAAGCCAAGAGCTTCCTTAAACTCAATTTTTATTTTTTCTAGAGGAGAGGGTTGACATGTGCCAGATTGAGGCTAATAGAAAAAATAAAACAATTGAAGCTAAAAAATTAATATAGAATTGAATTATCTCACATATTCGAATATCAAAGCCACCATGAATTTGGAAAGTTGCTGCAAGTGTAATAGCTTGAGGTGAATAATCTAACCAAAAAAAAAAGAGTTAAAATTAGCCCCTTTTTTTTATTTTACCATGGATTTGTCTTTAAAAATTTCATCAACTGAGAAGTATTCTTTCTCTTCAGCAAATAGGTTCTCTTCTTCAGCAGCTTTAATCTTCAAAGCACAACGACGGCATAGTTGGAGAGCAGAAGCAATGCTGACAATGGAAGGGGCACGACATAGACACGAGTTGGAATGGCAAAAACATGGTATCTGTTCATGCTAGCCTCAAAACCATAGGTAGAAAGGGTGATAGAGGGGCCATAGCTGACTTGTTTTTCACTTTTTTAATATTTGCACGGAGGTCTTTCAAAGCCTTTTCTTCTTCTAGCATGGAGAGTGCCTTATTGATGAATTTGGAATAGTGCTGAGAAATTCGAATAGTTCAAGAAACGAAATTACACAAGAAGAATTCACTTGTAGTGCTGCCTCCATCAAAATGGCATATATGTGAAACTGAGGAGCCAAAGTGAAGTAAATAGATTTTCATTTGGAATCCAATAAACAAATGGAGCTATGAATAATGAAAGTGTAGTTTATAAGATCTCCAAATTAGACCTTGATTCAAATAACAAATTGAAGTTTGCAAATAGAATATAATGTTGTCTCTTGCAATATATAATAATAGCAACAATTAAGTGTATGTATCTGGTTTTGGAATGCATTACTTCATGAGGTTTATCAATGTCAGTCAGCTTCATTTATGAGATTACTTTACCAAAGATGCCAAAGTGAAAATATCACTAACATAACATTATTTAAATAACTTTTCCTTCACTTGAAGCATTAAGTATTAAGCATTGAAATAAATATAAAACATTAGAATAAACATGAAAGAATATTTTGGAACAATAATGCAAATATACTTCATCAAATGTCTACTAGAAAATGTAACCCAATCATACTTAAGACACCACCTGTACTTTGCCTTGCCAAATAATCTCATAAAAATATACATTGATGATCTGTGTCTGTTAGATAAAATTCAAAACATAAATGCTAAATACCTTTGCAGACCCATATTTTTCTTTCATGTAAAATTGTGGGATGAAGAGAAAAATAGTTTTCCATGATTGTTTTTCTGTTTTTCTTCTTTCCCAAATTTAGTTTTTACTAGTTTAAATATCTCTTGCACATCTTTTCTTTTGGGATTTGTAACTAATTTACTTTTGAGAAGATGTGAATCTAAAAATTTCATGAGGCTTTCTTTGATTTCATCCACCACTGCATTTACTATCTCTCCAACACTAGCAAAATGTCCTCCAATTTTGGCCCCAATAAATAAAAAGATTAATGTATGTTTAAGTACTGGAGCAAATTTCTCGAGCCAATTTGGTGGGAGATCCAATTCAACACCCATAGAATTCTTCACTTGATGACCTCCAACTCCTTGAGCATAAATTCCCCCATGCCATTCACACAAGTAATGAAGTTTGATACATGTTCCCAATAATTTACTGTAATTCTTCCATATATTATTCCCATCAACAATATATGGATACTTTGGGCAGTCGACCTCTAATTTTAATAACATTTGCAAACATCTTGTATGTATTGCATTTACTTTATCCATGGTAAACTTAAGTTCATTCTTGAGTTTGTTGAGATTTATTTCAATGTCATTAAGTTTTATATCCACCTTGTCAAAATGGTTATCTAATTTATCAAACCTTTTATCAAAATATTTGAAGAATGTATTGAGCTCTGGATCTCTCATGTTTGGAACCTTAGTAACATCTAATAATGCCTTGGCAATTGTGACTTTTGCAACCTCCTCATAATCCTTTAAGAATTCATAAAGTTCAACTAGCTTATTCATCACTTCATGTTGTTGCTCATTAGGCATTAATAGCTTCGCCAAAGCATTATCATCTGAGACCTTCAAATCACTAATCATATCCCAACTTTCTGCTTCACATGAATACTTCCAAGTGTGGGAGTAGTCTAGACCTCTTTCTTTAGCTTCTTCTTTGACTTTCTTTAGTGAACAAATAATTGTATCCCATGATTTTAGTTTGCCTAATTCTAGTTTGCCCATTTGATTTAGTATCCTTTTCCACACATAACTATGCTTCATCACATTTTCTTCAATTTCCAAGAATGGGCAATCCTCCATACATACCCTAATAATGCAACTTCTAACTTTTACCATCCATCCTTCTACTTCTTTCTCTAAATCTAGCCTTAATGTATTCCTCACCTCCTTTGGGAAGCAAATGATGACATCAACCCATTGCCTATTTTTCCAATTGTCTATGTCTCCCCCAACTCTCACAATTGTCTCAATAAGGTTCTCTTTAAAAGCCACCCATCCATTTCCAAACCTGACACCTGGCTTACACAGTTTATGAAGCTCAACTTGGATCTTTGTGAAAATACTTGCAGAAAACAATTTCAAGTCCTTGTCTTTGCATTCAAACCTCCTGCCCCAGTAGTTCTGGTTTTTTTGAGTGTCACTTGGCACTAATGGTGATGCTAAATATTCTGGAGGTGAATAATCTTCTTGCAATAGTGTTGGCACTACCAACTCTTTGGGCAACTTACACCAATTTCCATCCCATGTATCATCCCAAGGCAATATCACTCCCATCTCATGGAGCACTGCAAGAGTGTATTCCACTATTTTGTCTTGGTTCCCACATTGTTGCCCCGGAGGGCCCGAACTCTCTGTGTTTCCATATGACTTTCAACTTTGCCCATCTTGGAATGTATGAAGAGTCGCACCACATCCCTCATAAACCATTGGACATCCAAGATGACAAATTGAGACACAATGTCATCCTCTTCATGTCCCAAGCCAAAGTAAATTGCATCTCCACAATCATGTAGATATTGCAAGACGAATTTGATAACATTCTTCAAGGCTTCTCCACTTTTGAAACTACTGTTAGGCAAGAGGATTTCACCAACTTTGTCCAAGGGTATGACCTTCTTGTGACTTGCACCTTGTATCAGTTTCCTCTTTGCCTTGAGACATTCCTGTGGTA